TTATTAACATGCTTCCTGGTGATCTTCAGTTGATTATCAACAACTCGTTGAGTAGGTGTAGTTTTGTGTTTAAGGTTAGGTTTAGATTTAATAGATTGTATCACACTCAACTTCGAGTGTCTACAGTGACATCAAAATAAAGTGTTACCAATACTGGTAAAAACATCACATTTGTCAAAAACTAAAACTCTAATTTTAATGTAAAAACTTCGTAAGATTAATATTTCAACATGTCAGTTCATGGGCATTCATGGCTTTCCCCAAATATAATAGAACAATGTATTTAAATATAAACATAATTCTAAGCAGCATTGCTGTGTCTGATCCACTCGCATCAGCGCAACACACACCACCACCCAGTTTAGACCACACATACACATTAACCCCTTAAAATCCCGGGCCTATAACATACGTAGCCTTATTATTTAGTAACTGCATGGCCTACCGTGCAAACTACCTGAGCTATTTTGTAGGATATAGAAGGGTGCAGTTAAATGTTATGCCTGTAGGTGGGCCTTGTCCATTTAAGGGGTTAAAACTGCCCAAATTAAGGGTCATTCTAAGGTTACATGTAGCAATTTTGGATTTCAGAATTTTAACTGAACTGGTTGCATCAGCAGAGGTTCTCCGTTGGCCAATCATCAGCTGTCGTGTAGCTGTGGACGGCAATCAGACCACCCCTACATGCAAAATTGTCATAGTTCTCATTACAGTTTTAGCCACACCATCTTTAAGCTGCCACACTGTACCAAGTCTTCACCATTTGGAGATTTCTCTGGTTAGCATGGAGATTGATGCTAAGGGTCAACATAAGTGAGCATGGCTGAAAAAACCTTTCCTGACTTTTGATGTAAGTCAACATAACATTTTGCACGGTTTCTATTTGTCCATTTATCGTGAAATTTTACACATAGAGAGAAAAATATATGGAAACTATAACTATTAACACCATTATTTGATGTGTGTGTGTGTGAAGCTGTGTAAGAGGACATGGGAAATGGGAAAGGCTACAGATATGAGGTACGGCTCTAGAGGTGTGGTACATCTATGAGGGTCCTGTCCTGTAATTGGTTGTTCTTTTAATATTGGTAGCTGTTGGGGGAGTCACTGAGGTAAGAGGCTAGTTGTGTTGTGAAAAGTTTGAGAACCCAAATTTTGACAAATGGAGGATCAGGATCATTATTTAGCACAAGAAAAAGCAAAGGAGGGTGAACGCACATCGTCAAAGAAGCGAAAACCTGATTGCCGCATGTTCTACTACACGCTAGGAAAGGGAGGGGTGAGGGAGGGGTATTCAGTCGCTGCAGTCTGAAAACCCACCACTAGATGCCTCTAAAGTTTACACACTGCACCTTTAATAGAGGAGCCTGTTATCGTCACATCACTCACTGGAAAAACATGCTAACCGACTGTAAAACAACGGAAAAACTCTCGATCCAGTATCAAAAACAAAACCACAGCATTGAACCCAGCCTGGAAAACATTCACTACCCTCTTACCTCAGTGACCCAGCGCAACGGCTACCAACGTCAAAAGAACAGCCAATCACAGGACAGGACCCTCATAGATGTACCACAGCTCTAGTGCTGTACCTCATATCTGTAGACTTTCCCAATAATGTCCTCTCACACAGCTTCCAGCCACACACACACACACACACACACACACACACACACACACACACACACCAAATAATGGTGTTGTAAATCCTCATAATTTCCATTTATATTATTTCTATATAGAGTTAGAGTTGATTTCACACAGACAGCTTGCATGATTACAGCCATGCTCGCTTATGTTGACCCTTCCCATCAATCTCTATGCTAACCAGGTCAGCAGGAAAATCTCCAAATCTACAATTCTGCATGGAGGAGTGGTTTGATTGCCCTCCGCAGCAAAGTGAAAGCTGAAGATTGGCCAACAGGAAGCTTTTGGTGATGCAACCAGTTCAGTTTAAATCCTGAAATCTAAAATTGGTCATCTTGTGAGTTTTGTGGCCTGCTTGCCTTTAACATCACATGTAACCTTAGAGCGACGCTTAATTTCGGCCGTTTTAACCTCTTAAATGGACAGGGTCACAGGGCGCTGCCCGCAGGACGCTGTTGGCTGGATGTTTTTGGTTCTCGGTCCGGCAGCAACACTGAGGCGTTTGAAAGCTCCAGCAGCACTGCTGTGACTGATCCCCTCTCACCAGCGCAACATACTCTAACACACCACCACGTCTGTGTCACTGAGAATGATCCACCACTCACATAATTAAATTGTTCCATTATAAAGCCATGAAAGCCATGGTAGCTCCCCCTTGTGGGCAATCCTGCTAAATGTGAGTGAGTGAGTTACAGGCCAGGTCCATGAGGTGCTCTCTCTCTCTCTCTCTCTCTTCCGGCCACAATGGTGCAGCATGACACCATCAAATTCTGTGGAAGGGTGTTAGTAAGTCTTTCCAGTAACTTGGGTCGAAATGAGTCTAAAAGCATATTTTTTATTTCTAAATTTGCTGACTATCATTAAAAGAAGAAGTGGGGCTCCTGAGTGGTGCAACAGTCTTAGCGGAAGTCCAAGACAGCACAGCTGGCCTCACTCTCTGGGTGTGTAGGATGGCCCCCCGTCTCCCCCCATCGCGTTTAGGTCTCCCCCCAATGCGATGCTAGTCAGCGCAGGCGTCTGTTAGCTGACATCGTGCTTCACAGGTCTCGGAGGAAGCCTGTGCTAGCCTTCGCCCTCCTAGCGCTGGTAGTATCGTGTGATTGGGGGGAGTCCTAACTAGTGGGTGAAACTGGATACGACTAAATTGGGGAGAAAATTTGGGAAAAAAAATTTTTAAAAAAAGGAGAAGTGCATGGAAGTCGTTTTCATGCATTATCTGCTCACTGACTCTCAAGGCAACTCCATACAATCATTACAATCATATTATAGTTACCATAGCACCATCTCTGCAACAGAACGCCCAACCAACTACAACACTAAGCTAGAAGAGGCCGTGCTTTACAGTGATTTTATCACTGGTGAGCGAAGCAGAGTCTCCTTTAAACGAGCTACATTTGTAGCCCCCCCTTGTGGGCAATCCTGCTAAATGTGAGTGAGTGAGTTACAAGCCAGGTCCATGAGGTGCTTTGCATCTAAAAATGAGGACTGAAAGTTAAAATGGCTTTCCACTCAGTATCATTGTTTTCATACTGGTTCCCACTGTGCTGGATGCCTTTCTGCTCCATTGTGAAGTATTTTACGTCCCATGATCTGTTTGACAGACTTTTTAGACTGTTTTAAGAACTGTATGTCTTTTGTGCAAGGCCGAAGTGGACATCTCCAACTGAATATGCATTTTTTATATCATATTTGACATTTTGATCTGAAGGTTTATGGTTATGTTTTAACTTTATTCCAATTTAAATTTTAAAAATGAGAAAAATCTGAGAATGTATCCAAGTGGAGTTCAGCAACAAGCTCTCAGCATGTGTGTGGATGTTGGAAAGGCATCCCAGGTGGCTCCCCATGAAGCTGCTTGAGATAATGAGTGTATACATGCACTCGATAATCCGATCATAATTGGATTTCTGCAGTTATCTGATTATTCAAATGGTCATGTAAACGCCATACTCCAATCTAGAAACCCGACTAAGAAATCTGATAAATAGGCTGGATTTTAGCTCAGTAATTGAGATTTCTCAGTGCATGTGAACTCTTACTCTGATTTCTATCGGATTTCTGTCTGTGCATGCGGTGGACGACGCGAGATGGCAGCAAAACACTTTTGGAGAAGCGCTGACACCAAACATTTAAATATTCTTCATCTTCTAGATGATGTACGTTCATATTTTCAGGTAAAGTGGCGCAATGCTTTATATATAAAAAAAAAAAAACGGATTAAATTTGAGGTGTACGTCTCGTCTTCTTCTGTGAGTTTATTGGCCGGTTGCAAAGCATAAATCTGATTACTATCTGACTCATGTAGACCTGGAGTTTCCCCATTATCTTATCACCCAAGTGCATGTAAACATGTTGACCGATCTACTGACAAAATCTGATTATCTGTAGTTAATGAATTTTTAAGTGCATGTAAACACGCTCAATGATCGAGAGTAAAGCTGCATCAAGGCAAAAGAGAGGAGAGAATCTGAAGAACCATCCAAACTAGTAGTTTAGTTTGTTTAACACCTTTGTTTGGTACCCCAAACTTTTGACTGGTGGCGTAGCATGTGGAACACTGACACAGTGCCAAATATAACACTTGGTCAGACATGGCATGTTTGGCTGAACAGCCTCATAAATCTTTCCCGCTGGTACGTTCTAAATTTTCCTTGTTTTGAAGTACCCCAACCATAAATCTGAGCCTTACTGTAACAGACTCTACTGCACTTTTACTTTTCTTACGTTCCTTAGTTTGATACCAAGCAAAAGTGTCATTAAAACATGATCATGAATGAACACAATATCCAAATCAGCACTTAGCACTATGTACTGTACATAGGCCAACTATAGCTGGCCACCAAAGAACGCTTTGCTCTGACATTCATATAAAGCAGAGGTGTGAAACTCAACCACTTAAAGAGCCACATTCAAAATCTCAACAAATCTGCAGAGAATGGCTTTGTTTTTATTTCAGTTTTTAAAGAATATATTGTTATAAACTAAACAGGACATTGTTTATTCAAAATACGGCAAAACGTCAACCGCAAAATATAGGTATTTGTAGTAGACCTTGATATATAACATGAAAAAATAAAGACCCCAGGAGGGAGGGGTCTGATCTAAAAACCTGGCATATTTTCTTTGCTGCAAGTTCATTTGTTCTTGGGATCAATTTCCGAGCTGCTGAACTGAGAGTTTGTTGGTTGAACCGCAGTTGAAACACAGCTAGTGCGTTTGTTGATATGACCGGTGTGGAACTGTGTAGTGTGGGCCACTGTGAAACAGTCTAATATTAATAGCCAATTCAGATAATTTCACAGGCTGGATAAGATGGTGTGTTTGACAATTGTCATGTAAAGCAATAAAAGCACTTCTTGAACAACTATACATTTTATTTATTGTTTAGCAGAAAGCAACAAAAGTGTTGTTGCAACTGAAAACAATGAAATGTACCACAACTCCTTCACTCCAGAAAGTAATACATGGCGTAAGTTAACATTGTGCGTCTTTATTATGTAACAATGGAAATGAGAAGCAGAGCAACACACGGCTGAACACTGTGGACCTGCGAGTAGTGTAGGTCAAAGGTCACAAGATGTTATATTCAGGTCTCAGGCCAACCTCGTGCCCTCAGGGTTTAACTCACAATGCGACACATGGTTAAATTAAGGTGATCTACAAAAGGTCAGGAGCTTTAAGATGAAAGGTGCTGCTGCCCCTTCAGATTTTTCCAGGGAAGCTTCCATCCTGGACCTGCCCATCCCACTTCTCCACCTAAAAGGAGGGAAGGAAATAGATGCGTTAATGTTGTGGCAATGTCAAAATGCAGAACACTTTGCACGGTATGCTGGACTGCACCCCCTGCTGGCCAAAGCATGAATAGACTATTCTAGAGTCTAGAACAGAGTTGTGCTTTGCAAAACAAATTTGCCTGATTTAAAAAAAACAAATTGAGAAAATAATTTCTAATTTAAAACAACAGATATTCACTGCATACTGACTACAGCTGAAATATAGTTACAGATGAAAGCGGTGAACACTGGTTTAAAACAGGGCAAATGCAAAGAGCAATAAGTATTTAAACACAAAAACAATTTATTTGAATTGGTTTATATTAGTAGGTCCATCAGAAGAGTCTGCGTGTGTTCATTAAATAAATAAATAAATAAATAAATAAATAAATAAATAGATAAATAGATAGATAGATAGATACATACATATGTTGCAAAGACAGTACAAAACAAACTCTGCCTACATTTCTGATCTAACATTAAGTGAGTGTGGGGGGCCCTCTACTGGTTACTGTGGGGTAGTACAACAGAAAGAGACCACGAAGGCCAGTGCCTCCAGTATAAACTGAACTTAGATATTAAAACTAGCCAAAAAAAAATAAAAATAAAATAGGAGCTCATCTACTTAAATCCAGTGACATCAGCAATTAAAAGCTGACTGTACGTTTCATGCTGCAAACCCGTCAGCGTTGGACTAAACTGTTGTAATGACGGCAAAAGGTCCAGCAAAATAGCACACGAGGGCACTAAACACCAGACATCTAACATGTCTTAAGGCTCTAAAAATGACTAAATCTACTAAATAACCAAGGCTCAATTTCTTTGATAACAGGACAGAGCGACTGAATTAACAGTAGACTTGAATGTGGTGATAGACCAGCTTGGAGCTTAGCTGGTGTATCTGGAGTTTGGGCTGAGTGAAGCTGCTGTAACTGATTAATCCGGGCGCCGCATACAAATGTCTTCTTATAGATACTGTTGTGAAGCTGGACAAGCTCTCCAGAATGTCAGTGAAAGACTAAAGCCCTATTTGGATTGAATTAGTTTATCAATTAAAAAAAAAAAATACAGGAGATGCAAGTTTTTGCTGTGATTTCTACAAACCTGGATATTTGCATCATTCAAGGTCATGTGATCACGTTCTATTTGCATGAAACATTGATGGTACTGTACTTTACATATAAAGTAATGCTCTGATAATACTGAGTAGCCGTTTGTGACTAAAGTACTTCATACATATTTTTTGTTTCTCCTCCTGCTGCTGGTCTTCCAGTGTAGAGATGATCAAGTTCTACAATCCAGACCAAGTTAACAGGTGAAAGACCTCCACAAAAACAGATACACATGCTAGAACACTAAATATGGCAAGAAGCTATTTGTTCCAAAGGTACGCCAAATTTGCCTGGAAAACCCACCAAAAATACGGAAATATGTATCCAGACGGGAATAAACATACATCATATAAACTGCTTATCCTTCTGGGTCGTGGCGGGGTGCTGGAGCCTATCCCAGCTGTCACTGGGCGGAAGGCAGGATACACCCTGGACAGGTCGCCAGTCCATCGCAGGGCAGACAGACAGACATACACATTCACACCTAGGGGCAATTTTAGCACATCCAATCGGCCTGACTGCATGTTTTTGGACTGTGGGAGGAAACCGGAGTACCCGGAGGAAACCCACACAGACACGGGGAGAACAGGCAAACTCCACACAGAAAGGACCCTGGTCGTCCAGTCGGGGATCGAACCCAGGCCATTCTTGCTGTGAGGCGACAGCGCTACCCCACTGCGCCACCGTGCCGCCCCAGACGGGAATAAAATTTATCAAACCACCACTGAGGTGAAAAACAGTAGTTAACTAGGTTTTTTTTCCCCCTAATTTATCTTAGGGGAAGATGGACGAAAAAACGCTGACATGGCTCATCTGGACAGAAATAAGGTCACAGAGTAATACCTATAAAAGTGGAAACTACCACAGAAACCCATGTAAATTTTATCCAGTCCAAATAGGGCTTAAGTCAACATAACGAGAAATTGTTGCGCACAAATCAGGTTATTAAATTATCTAAATTTATTGTGCATTATCCATTATAAACTATATGTATTTTGTAGGCGTGACACAGGAGATTGTCCTGTAATCATTACTGGTGTGGAAAAGTATCTGAAGTAAGTAGCGCACTAAGTATAGATATACATTCTGACAAGTGTGTGTTGGTGTCTCATTGTTAGCATTCTATGAAGCTTGTCTAACCCGGCAACAGTTGCTATGCATGTACTGTTGTATAAAGTCCCATGGTTTATGCTATGGCTGCATGATATGGACATAAAATGCGGTGTTGGATATCACAACGACATATGAGAAGTGATTAATTATGACTAAAATGTGCCTCTAACTGGATGTGCAAGTACAGACGCCGATTGTTTTGATGTAATTCAAAAGAAGTCTAACATTGCCTTAAGTAGTAGTAATAATTAAAAAAAAAAAAAATTAACAAAAGGCCCCATTCATCATTGTGCAAAGTAAAAAATAAAAATCCTAACAGCTATTTATCAAAACCACAAGGACATTTTTGTGCATGGTAAGGCTTTTAGAAAAACAGTAAACAGTCCATGAACAGCTTTTTCTATACAGACCTACAAAAACAAGGTGATGCAGGTTTGAAGACCTGCCTCATCTACATGGATTTCTATGCCAATGTTCTCAGCCTGACGGCGCTTTCAGATGATAAACTGATGATCTTGTGCTTTGCTAACCGCAAACCTGGGCGCACAGTCCGCCTTGAGCTGTACCATGTCATCAGCACATGCAGGAGTTCGAAAAACACCTACCTGACAGTTTATTCCTATGTGATTTTGCAAAACAAGTATATTAGTTTAAAACCAGAAAAGGCTCTGGTTTTGGTCACGTTATGCCAAGAAGACCAAGCAAAAAGGAAAGTGGTCATGTCACACGTTACATATAACATGTTTCATTAGCTTCGCTTTGTAAAGGTCAGAAGCAAACCGTGTTGAAGTTGAACCTGAGTGACTTTGCGCACAGCGACAGAGTGGCAAAATGGAACGAGAGTGGAAAATCCGCTCTCTCTATAAGAAAACGATGGCACTGCCAGCGCAAACCAGTTTTGCCGCTTATCATCTGTATTAGTGTTGACTAATGTGCATGTGTCAGGCAATAACAACAGAATCTTACCCAGCTGATGGGGCACAGGCTCTTGTAGACTCTCTGGTACCAGTCACACGGAGACGTCTCCTGACCTTTCGCTGACAAAGCCTTATTACACCTGTGAAAGTCTGAGACACAAAAAGAAATGAAGAGGGTCAGGTCTGCACTGCGAAAGGTTCATTTATCACACTCTATAGCCCTGTCCAAAACAGTGACCTAAGCCCTGTGACACTCCTCAAAGTCTGCCCTTTGGGGATGTCAACAAGAGACCTTGGAGGTGCTAGATTTAAAACCGTGCATTTGGGCCAGACTAGGTCTTGTACATGTACTGTACCCAATTAAAGGATCACGGTCAGACTTGTTTTTCTTTAATGAGCCGATTCGCTTTTACTGAAGGTACATTATGACATTAATAAAACAAATGCATTTTAGCTCACAGCTGCATCTCTTCTCCAATCTGTTGATCGGCTAGCTGTAAACAAACCCCTCTGATTGGTCCTAGCCTATATCCCAAGGAATTTTGGGTAAGAGGCTGCTACTGAGCCCTGAGCGATGCGGTCCTCGCCAAAGGCCACACTAAGGTGTGCACAGAGGGCGCTTGTGTGCCCCCTTTCAATGCTAAAATGCGAAATGGGACACCTTAAGGCTTTGTGGACACAAATGAGGACCATAGTGTTATAAGTGTGCTAAATAAGACTGGGCTGTTGATCCCAAGAGTGGACAACTTGGTCCAATTTGGACATTTCTCATTTCCCTCCTGCTTCAAACCATTTGGTAATAATTTGGTAACCAAGTAGGTGTGTAAGAAATGGGAAAACATCTAACTGTGCTGGACCTCAGGCCTTAAATACTGCATTTAAAGGGCACTGAAGCTGCAGAGAAACATTTTCAAACCCCTGAACATCAGCAAAGTCTTCATGAAAAACAATATGTACTAGGTTTCCAGGAGTCGTATGACTTTTTAAATTCCTGCACTTACCAAGGTAGTTTTGGAAACAGTTTCGTGTCTGGTTGGTGTTGGGGAAACGGGCGTCGAACGGAGCCGTTCTGTAGTTCTTGATTTTGTCATCAATGATGTCTGCCATCTCTGAGCAAATCTCTCAGACTAGTTTCAACACTGCAATAAAAACACACACAACACATTAACAGCAGCACAGGACATCAAACCCGAGAGGAGGCTGGAACTGCCTTCCAATCTTATTAAGAGTTTTCCGCTCGACCTTAAAGGGAAATTTCCACCATTTTTTGAACATTAATACTGTCTTTGATATGTAAACAGAATCATTCAGAGTGGTTTGGTGTGAAATAGTTCATTGCAGAGACTCAGATTTCTTTGCAGTGGCAGTGATGGGAACCAGGGGTCGCCATGACTACAACACAAACATAGACATTTCATTTACTATCTAAAACAACCTACACATATCTTCTTAGCTTGTTCACAAAATAGGCATAAATCTGACAAAACAAGTTTTCTTTGGGGATTATTTTGCCTCACAGCGACCTGCATGTACCCCTGGATTAAAATACATTAATTAAAAATACATTTTAAGCCAAAAGAAAAAAAAAAATGCATCAGGCATCACATTCATAACCAGTTCATGTAATAAGGGAGCTTTTAGAGGTGGATGTCCGGTTCCTATCACCACCACTGTGGACAATTCTGACTCGGTAAGTTTATCTAGAACAGAGCATTTCACACCACACCACTCTGAATGACTCTGTTTACATCTTAACCATTTAATTAGAAAGAATTTTTGAAATTTTTGGTGGAGTTTCCCTTCAAGCGCCGGCTGTATCAGTGATGTCTCAGGAGGGCAAAGCCAGAGGTCGTCGGTAAACACCGAAATGACCTATTGGAGCCGTTTGCCACCTTAAATTCAACACAGTTCGGTGTTTTCGCACATTTTATACGGTGCAGAGACGAAACTAACACTTATACAGCGCCGAGATTCACGTTAATCTTAAGCCTTATTAACCTTGAACGGTTAGCACTCGGCTAACGACTCAGCCTGGGGTTAAACAGCGAGCCGGGCGGTGGGAAACACTAAATAACCGCTTTATTTAGTAGTTAACGCGTATTTACTTCAGATAGCGCCTATTCAACACGAACACAGCGAGATAAACCGCCTTCTTGGCTTTACTGACTCACATAAAGAAGATCTCGGAGCTCTGAGGCCTCAGCGAAGCGTCCTTACGTCCTCCCGAAAGGCTAGGGAACGCACGGAATTGTGGGATGTAGGCTGTGAAGCGAACCAGGGCGGGTTTGTAGTCCGCGGCTGTGTCCCAAACCGACGCCATGCTCCCTAACTAGTACACTATCTCTGATTTCAGCCATTTTCTAGGGCGCATGTGTTAAACACTGCAGACTTCAGCACACGGCCTCATTACACACACCTGATTAAGCTCATCAGCTAATTCGCAAGACCTTCATGGACTGAATTCAGCGCGTTAATGAGGGTAAATGCTAATCTCCGCGGCACTTTAGGCTGGAAGGTGCCCAGTTTGACATGCCTGATCTAGGGAAGGGGTTCTTAACCTTTTCCTCCTCAAGGTTCACCTGTTTATCGCTAGAAAGCATGAAGGCCCATAGGGAAAATAAACATTTGGCTTAAAAAAATCATTTTTGGGAATTTTTCCACAGCGGTTGTCCTGGAAAAAATATCTTCGCAGCTTTGCTCTTGACACAGAACTCAAATAAATACGACAGCTTGGCAGGAAAAGGCACAAGTGTTTAATTGAAGATTCAGGCTTTCCAGCATCAAGCGTCAATCTTGAGTTGGCCCAGGTACAAGTGACAAACCCACAAAGATCCGCACCCATCCCATATGTTTCAAACTTTTTGATTAGCGCACCAATATCTCCACAAGTCACGGCTATCTTTACCCTTGCGTCCGAACCGAAAAGTAATATATCTTTTTTAATTATTGCAGGCCAAGGCCGCTCCCAGGCCTAAGCCTTCATTATCAAAAAAACCTCCCACACAGTTTTTTAGGTGGCACATTATGCTGAATATTCACTGAATAAATCAACAGATTAGGTGAACACAAGCTTGTTTAATACCTGAAATTAGGTGCAATGATTATTAAAATTAAGATTTTTCACTCGCGAGTGAAACTTAAGGGCAAGACACTTTTAATGGTTTCTGAATTTTTTTTCAGCAGGGATGACTTAATATTAATGATGAGGGATGAGGGATGAGGGATGACCTAATATTCTTTACCATTTGAGAAAATTATACCTTTTTTCTTATCATTAAGTCAATTTTTTCACTGATTTTTTTGACGAAGTACCACTACTGGCTCCTACTCAGTGCTGGCCCAAGGACCACCAGAGGGCGGCCCAGAGGTGGAGAAACCTTGTTCTAGGGTGCCCCACTCCTCCAAAGCGCACAGTTTTGCATACTTTTTGGTACCTGTGCGAGTGCTCACGTGTCCCAGAGCACTCTGACCACATATAATCACATTATACACACTCTTTTCTTGAGACCACGTTAAAGAATTCAGAATTGGGTATGTATACACCAAATGACCACTTCAATAAGACTGTAGTCCATCTGTTTCTCTGCATACTTTGTTACCCTGTTCTTCAATGGTCAGGACCCCCATGGACCCCCACAGAGTAGATATTATTTGGGCGGTGGGTCATTCTCACCACTGCAGTAACACTGATGTGGTGGTGGTGTGTTAGTGTGTGTTGCGCTGGTGTGAGTGGATCAGACACAGCAGTGCTGCTGGAGGAACACAATGAAGGTAAGGCATTTGGAACACAGCCCTCTGTGTATGCATGCTGCATGTCAGTTCCTGTACTGTCCAAACAGCAGGAACCCATCACTCTCCAACTGGCTGAGAGTTTCCTTCCACTTACAGCCTCTAGAGTTGTATTTATCGGAAGTCTAGTGCTTTTTCAATACTGCAACATGGCAATCAGTTCAATACTCTAACTTTCAGTACTTACTACCTTCATTTAAATGGGCTAGCACCAGGCTGACACTGTATTTTACCTACATTCTTAATAATAAAGGAGTCAAAAAAGGGTTATTTGGAGTGATGCCACAGAACAGCTTTTTCTTTGCCTAAATGGCCTTTTAGTGAATGTGTGAAGAACCTTTTTGAAGTTTAAAGGGTCCATATCAAGGAAAACAGAGTTTTTCCTTAAAAGCATTAATCATCACACATCACGGTTGTGTTGAGTTGCTAATGTGGTTTCTGACACTGTAGAAAATTTGTTATCTATAAAAATGAACAAAAAGTCCGTCACATTGCTGAAAACCCTGCTGAACAAATGCAGCATGCTGTCTAAGCTGGTCTGAACTGGTTCATGCTGGTCTGGTGCTGGTTTAGCTGTTCACCCAGTATGGTCATGCGGATTGACCAGCATACCAGCATCCAAAACACAACATAAGTTGGTTTTGCCGATGACCAGGATATTGTAATATTGACTCAGAAACAGAACCGCAGAATGTCAGTTTTCTGATCATGGAAAAACGCAGAAGAGGCCACTGACTCACAGGGAAAATAGCAGAGAAGGTCACCAACAGCTGTCCGGCACACACTGACGGTGAACACTACCACACTAATTAACCCACAGCAGAACACAATAAAACACAACCAACACACACACACATTTTCTAAACCACTTATCCTTCTGGGTCGCGGGGGGGATCTGAAGCCAATCCTTGCGCTCATTGGGCAGGACACACCTTGGACAGGTCACCAGGGCAGACACACACAGACACACACATTCACTCCTAGGGGCAATTTAGCATGTCCAGCTGGCCTGACTGCATGTCTTTGGACTGTAGGAGGAAACCGGAGCACCCAGAGGAAACCCATGCAGACATGGGGAGAACATGCAAGCTCCACACAGAGAGGGCCACGGTTGCCTGGCTAGAGCAACACGTAAACACATTTCAACTAAAACAACATTAACCACAATAAATGTCCTTTAATGGGAGGGGTGGTGCGTGCAAGCACTACTTTTGCATGCTACACCCCTTGAGCACCCCCTGAACCGCAGACCCTGTGGCAGACACAACAAAATGAACTTCCTTTGCAGCTGACCAGCATACCAGCATCCAAAACATAACATATGCTGGTTTTGCTGGTGACCAGCCATGGTGGTCTATGCTGGTTTTAGCAGCCGACAGTATGTCATATTGTCAGGATTTTTTGCCTTGAATAGTGAGGGCCTGTGTGGCTGATAGCTAGATTAAGCACTACAAATTGGTGTGATGTCCTAAACAAAGGCCTTTGAAAAAAGAGCTCAACTCTAGCGCTGAGCTAACTCAGTTTTGGGAGTGTACAGATCCCTAGGGTTCTATATTCTTTCAGCTCGTAATATGATACATACATACATCTTCTAAACCACTTATCCTTCTGGGTCATGGTGGGGTGCTGGAGCCTATCCCAGCTGTCTTTGGGCAGAAGGCAGCATACACCCTGGATACACACACACACACCTAGGGGCAATTTAGCACGTCCAATTGGCCTGACTGCATGTTTTTGGACTGTGGGAGGAAACCAGAGTACCCGTAGAGAACAGGCAAACTCCACACAGAAATGACCCTGGCCGCCCGGCCGGGAATCGAACCCAGGCCATTCTTGCTGGGAGGCGACAGCGCTACCCACTGCGCCACCGTGCCGGGTCTCCAAAGGTGATACATTGAACAAAGCAGAGTTTTTAGCTGGAAAGCACTTGCAGTTAGCTAGGCTTGCCTCAGTGAGCTAATTGGATAGCCTAGCTAAGGAAACTTCATATTGCGAAGTCAGAGTGTGGAATACATGAACTTTTTTATGTATTTGTCTGGCTTAAATGTAGTGAATTATCCTTCCTTTTTGTTGCCTTTAGCTAGCTAACTAGCAAGTTATCAGAATGAAGTAACAAATGTGAGAAGAAATGTATGAAAGGTGGAGTGGTTTACAACATGAAGCCCAATTTGAAAGTGAATATGTAATATTCAAATGTAACATTTTTGAAGTATTAAAGGTGCAATGTGCAAATTTAATGGCATCTGCAACCAACTGAATTCGCCTCCCTCATCCCACCCCTTTCCAAGCGTGTAGCAGAAAGGTGACCGTCAGGTTTTCTGCTGTTGCCTGTGCTCATTTCATTTTGCTTCTTCATGTTTTGGCTTCTTTGACGTCAAGGATTCACCCTCCCTCACTTTTTTGTGTTAAATAATAAGTGTGATCCTCCATTTGTCAAAATTTGGGTTCTAAAACTTCTCATAATACAAAATGGTCAGCCAGCACCAACAGTAACCACTGCTTCTTCTTCTTCTTTCTGCCTCCTCCAACCGGAGGTACAGCACCACCAAATTCAAGCTGCCACTTTAACATAAAAACACAAAAGTCGCCCTCTGGATCCAGTGTTTGGTCTGTCCGTTCTGGTCTATTGTAGAAACATGGTGGCGCAACATGGCAACATCTGCTGGAAGAGGAGCTGCTCCCTATGTGGATGTGAAGGGCTCATTCTAAGCAAATGAAAATACAATGATTCGTAGCTACAGGTGATTAAACATTAATGAAAACTGGAAAAAATTGGTATACTATATTCAATTTCTGCTATCAGATCCTCCTAAATCTTACACACTGCACCTTTAAGTAATAGATGGAATTAATGCTGCACTAAATCACAATGATATCTGGGCAAATTCTACTTCTGAAGAACTTTTTTTTACCCAGGGTCTGGGGAACATAGGGTCCTAGAAACATAGGGCTGATTCCAAGGCATTTCAATGAGAAAATAAAAGGCCCGGGCCATATGGGGATGACCCCTGTGTAGTAACTCTTTTCTGCCTTTGCGGGGCACTGTTAGCTTGTTAGCTTCCAACCGAGCACTGAACTGTACAGTAATGCACAAGAGCAGCCTGGAGTTTCACCAGCGCAGAGAACACACTGCTGTACTGTACTCACTCACTCATTCCGTGCACATTCTCTTCTCCAGTCAGGAAAAGCTTTCACTCAGTCGCCAAAAACAAACACGGTGGGACGAGTCTGAATGACGCACACGGGCCATTCACAGCCTGCTGTCACAACTTCCTGTCTGAGAATCCCACAGCGTCTTCGGCCTGCCAGTCTGAGAGTGCTTTTCAAAGAAATTTTGTACTGTATGTGATCCCGAAGGATGCTTTAGCTTCATGCTGATCAGAGGTATTACCAAAGGAATGGTTCACTGAAAAATCAAATCACTTATTTTCCCCCTTAAACCAAATGTAATCCTGTTTAGTGTCCTTAGTCTGCTTTTTTTTGCTTAACTCAA